TTGCATTTGATCTGAGCAGAATCGTTTTGGTGTTGCTCACTGAGTTGGGAAATAAATGTCAGCGTTTGGAAATTGACAGACAATTCCTTGGAATGGCCGAGAGTAGAGGTGTTTTCGGTTCGGCGGTTTGGTTTTTCTGAAAATCCGAACCAAACCATTTGGGTCTGCATCAATTTCGAATCGAACTGCGACCCGAACCAAAGACCCGGTTTAACTCGGTTTTTTGATTTTCTTTTTTGTAATGTTAAAAAGTGGTTTAGTGAAAATGGTGAGAGATTGTGTAAATTATAATTTTAGAAATATGAGCGATTTTCAATTTGGTTCGGTTAGCCGAAACTATCCGAATTAGAATAAAAAACAGTTATTTTCTCATTACACGAACCGAAACCCGAACCGGTTCGGTTTTCCGATTCAGTTCTGACACCCCTAGACGAGAGTAAGGCCGATATTGTGAGATAGCATACTTGTTTAATATTTACCTTAGGTCACTCATGATAACTTACTTATTATGCAAAAAGGGAGTCTGCAATTGAAATTCTTTTCATGGGTCGTTGTTATCCTTTCACCATGTCACCATATAAACAGAACAAATCCCAATTAATAAATTAGAACTTTTGCCTTTCATGAGACCTCCCGCAAGTCTCGAATCTGTTTTCTTCATTCTAGAATCGGAAGAGCGAAAAAAAGCACGTCGTTTGCCTCACGGCTCGTTGTCCATTAATGTCGAGACGGCGGTCATGCGCTACCCCCATAACTCAACATCGTCGTCCCTAAAATACTATTGGTGTCGCTATAAACTCGGCTTTGATCCTCCATATCCACCTCCATTTTTCTAGTCAATGAACTTCTTCTTTTGTCCCCTCCTGCTTGTACATCGAAACAACAGACAAGACAACTCTGTCCCATTCAAGAAATTCAAGAGACACCTTCATTGAAACTCAAGTTGGAGTGAATTACATTTATGTTCATGTCGCACCATCATGTCCTGAGAGCGAACTGTGAATTCTTGGGCCAGTAATCACCCGCACCAGATGCGATAAAAGAAAACCTCCATTTCCCTCTTAGAAGGTCCCCACGAATTAGCCCTTTTTTTCCGGTCGTTAGCGGACCATATTAGCCTAATTGTTCCATCAGTTACTATCACGAGACTTTCATATGGGCCAGCACATCCTTATGAGAAGAGCCAATTAGTGGCAAGAACTGCTATTAGCTGCGGATGTAATCACAATATTGTAAACACTTATTATGCTTTGTTTGTTTGAAGGAAGATTGGTTTTAGAAAATTGTTTTTCGACTTTTCTGGTATTTGGATGATGGAAAACTAATCGATCTATGGATAATGTTTTCCATGGACCGAAAACAATAAGTTTAGATTGGAAGAAAATGATTTCCCCTTCTAGCAAGAAGGAAATCATTTTCCTGGACCAACAAACAAATGAAAATTAACTGTTTTCTTTGAAAATGATTTCTATGGAGAATATTTTCCTTTGTCATGAAGTTTTTAGTTAAACAAACATACCCTTAATGTTTCTTTTCAATGGTAAAAGATATGTCACACCTGCGTTGTCGATTTATTTTCTAAAAGTTAAGGTTTTTGGGATCTACAGTTTGCTTGACACGATATGAGAGCGCGGGCATGCCAACGCGAATTGCCGGCCTTCTTAATTATGTCCATGTTCGGTGTTGCTAGTAAGACCGACTTGGATGCATGGAGTTTTAAGTAATATTTGTGTGTCTATATGTATAGAGGGAGAGAACTTTTCCTAATCTTTTGGGTCATTTCTTAAGTATTCAAGCTTTAAAGATAATTGATTATCTAACAAAGAGAACTCTCATTTAATTTGAGCAAGTGATGATAAAGTAAGTTTGAGACCCATGGTATGGACTATGGAGTTTATATATAGAGTATTGGCCAGCACGATGAAATAAGCTATGTTTATTCGGAAAAAATAAATAATTAAAAAAATATATTTTTAATGATAATCGTTTGTATTATTTAAAATATGAATTAATGAAAATTTTTTCATGGCAATAAAGTTGATCATTATTTCCTAGGGGTGAGCATGATTCTAGGTTCTATCTTGAAATCTGAGAACCTGATCGGTGGGAATAGTTTCAAAAATTGGGGAACATGTTTCGACCGGTAGGTTCCAGGTTCTAGATAGGCAAAACCCAGAACCAGCAACCTGAAACCTAAACAAGGATTTTGTGTTTTTTCTTGATCTATGTCTTGGTGTTTCATGAAGTTAGATGATAGGTGTATAATCTGAAACTACTAATTTGAACTTTCATTTTATGATTTGTTAATGTTTCATAATTTTCATGTTTCTAAATATAAGTTGTGGTCAGTGGATCATAACAGCAAGTGGTGGTAATTAAAGGTAATGATTCACTGCAATTTTTCAATTAATGATACAGGTAGAACTTATGTAGAACTTGAAACCGACCTTGAAATTTGTGATAGGGTAGGTTCCAAGTTCCAAAAAATGAGGAATTTATTCTCATGGATAGGTTCCACCAAGTGGAATCTGTATGGAGCATGGAACCGCTCACTCCTAGTATCGATTCACTCAATAACTTCTCAGTTAATTATATTTATTTGAATCGTAATACTAGGAAAACTAGTCTTTTGTATTTTTTTAGGTGAATGACAAGTTGTTCAGTATTGTTGCGTTCATTTCCGTTTTATTTAACTAAAAATAAAATAAATAAAAAAGAACATGTTGGACCCTAGAACCTGTGACAAGGTAGGTTTTAAGTTCTAAGTTTTGACGGGTAAGTTTCAGGTTCTAAAAAATGAAAAACCTATACCTAAGGATAAATTTTAAGTTCTAGATGAAATCTATAACGAACTTGAAATCACTCACCCCTATTATTTCCTCCGAGGCTTTTAATGGACCCAAACACCAGAAAAGCGACCCTCAGCCCCACATATGTTCCTTTCATCATTAATTGATGTCAAGTTGCAATTTTATAGCTAGTCCAAACTTGACACGTGGCCAATTAAATTACTCACTCATTATCTTTGCTCACAGGATAATCTTTTAAGCAAGCATTTGGCACCCTATAGTCAATGACAACCCACCTCTTGGCTCTTGGTACTTCGTCAAATAAAGCAATTGTGCCTTTTAAGAATACGACAATAATCGCGTATATGGCCCCATCAAAAAAATTGATGACATAAAAAAATAATTAACTTTTGATTATTATCAACAAGTGACAAATTGAATCGATAAAAACAATTTAGTCAGAACAGTTGACAATTTGGAGGAATCAACAACTCTCCAATAAAATTATGGGTACTAAAGATTAGTTATCGATGGAAACCTTCACCAAGATAAAGGTCTTGACGCCAGCATGTGACTGCCGAGTAGAATATTTTTAGATATGTAATTTCTTGTAACCGTAGATAGAATTAAGATGTTAATTGTTCTTTCAAATTCAATGACCGTTACATAGAGGGTCGTATATACCCCAATGTATTCATTATAAAAGATTTTGAATCAATCAAAAAAATCAACGTTCTTCTTCAATTAATCTTTTTTTCTTTTTACTTTCCTGCAATTTACATTTGGCAACGATTGTTCTCAGTGTTCGTACTTTAAATTGCTCGTCATTTATTCTCATGTCCAAAATTAACAAAAGACCATTCATAATTTTTGTCGATTTACTTATTAATCCATCAACATTCTTGAAAGATATTTCATCATTTTTTGTGAAAACAGTAATAGAGTTTTATTAAATTGAGGAAAATGGCACAAATGGTCCATAAATTTTGTTTTAATGTGCAATATAATCCTTAAACTTTTAATTTATTTAATTTGGTCCTTGAATTTTTAAACATATCGAACATTTACCAACAATTGCATTGAATAGATTAAAAGTCTAGGGGCGAAATTGCATATCGGACCAAAGTTTAGGGACCGCATTGCACAAATTAAAAGTTGTTGAAGGATGACATTGCATATTAGATTAAAGTTTAAAAACCATTTGTGTTATTATCCCTATTAATTTATTAGTTTGATAGAATAAGCTACTCAAACTAGGTTTGGTTTTATGAGATTACTCCTATGTTCTTCGGCAAAAATGATTCTTAGGCGTCGTTTATATATTCAACAAAAATATCAAATATTAAGTCGACTTAGCAAAAATTTCTTAATATCTCTAGTATTATTTAATCTAGAAGAAAAGTCACAAATTTTTAAACTATACCCATTGTGACACATTTACCCTGAACTTTTTTTTTGTGGCATAAAAAATCCTAAATTATGCCAACTATGACACATTTGCCATAATCTTTTTCTTACTTATGTGACATATTTATTTTCTGTCAAAGTTCCGTTGGATGATTAATCCAGCCAAAACAAACGAAGTTTTTATTTCACTTAAGTCAGAAGTTTTTATTTTACCTAAGTCACATGGACGCCATGTCAACACTATTTATTTTCTGCCATCCATATAGACAGAGTTTTAGTGCTACTCAATTTAGTCCATAGAATATATGAAAAATGTTCAATGTTGTCCCTGGATTTAAATTAATGAGAGAATAACATTGAACATTTACGTATAGTTCCGGAAATAAATTGAGCATGTGCCAAAAGTTAATGGATAACATTGAACAAGTTAAAAGTTCAAAGACCATATTTTATATTGGAGTGATGTTCATAAATCACTTTGAACAAATTATAAATTCAGAGACTATATTGCACATTAGGCAAGGACCATGTGGCAAAAAGTTAATGGATAACATTGAACAAGTTAAAATGTTCAATGACCATATTTTATATTGAAATGACGTTCAGGGACCACCTTGAATAAATTATAAATTCAGATATTACATTGTACATTTGGCTGAACAACACTCTGTCGGGTCCCACAGTTCATATTTTTCGTACCTCTGGACCGTACCTTCCACATGCTCCCACCGCTCTCCCCCGGTGTCATCCGTCCTCGTCTTCTTCCTCCTCCTCCTCCTATATGTGCAACACAGCGCAGGCATTCCCACTCACCATCATCCCCCAACACAGACCACCACCACATCACCACTACATCCGCCATTACTGCACCCTTCCATACCTTCCTCACCTCCCCCACCCCACCTCCCTTTGCATGGCCGTTGGACTGCTGTCCCACACCGTGTCCGATCTCTGCCTCGGGAAGCCCGCGCTGAGGTCGCTCCCCGCCTCCGCCACCGTCGGCGACGCCCTCTCCGCCCTCAGGGGCTCCGGCGAGACCTGCCTCAGCGTCTGGAGCTGCGACCACTCCTCGGCCGATGCTGCTGCGGCGGCCAACCCCGAGGCCGAGTTCGGGTGCAGGTGCGTCGGGAAGGTCTGCATGGTGGACGTGATCTGCTACCTCTGCCAGGACGGCCGCCTCTCCTCGCCTTCCTCTGCTCTGAAGGCCCCTCTCGCCGCGATCTTGCCTAACATTCCGGGTCTCGTCATTCATGTCGACCCTTCTTCCAGGTATCTTGTGCCTCTCTTCTTCTTGGCTTCTGTCTCAGGAATTTTCCCCTGCTTTTACGTTTTGGGTGAGCTTAGTCGGTCCTTCAATGGACTCTTCCGTTACCTTAATTGACTTCGAGAGCAAATTTCATGGACGTTTACGTGCAATTCTTGTGAAAATTGCGAGTGAAATTGTATATGGCCATTCAGATTTTCGGAGACACTGTGTTTGTACCATTTATGGTGAATTCAGGTCAGTGTCACAAGAAATCTTTCGAAATTCGTATTTCTCAAAGCACGAGGGCCTGTTCTTTCCGTCTCTATCGCTTGTCACGAGCTTGCGTCTCCGGGTGATGATTCGGTGATGGCAGCTCAGAATGCACTTCACTCTGGAATTCAAACAGAGTGCTCTGTTTTTGATCTTGTGGGAACCTTTGCATTTGTCTGATTAATGTTTCGGAGATGACCCGTTCTGTGCTTCTTCTTCATGTTTTCAGCTTGTTAGAAGCGGTTGATCTCATCCTGCAAGGAGCACAAAATCTAGTGGTGCCAATCGTAACCAGATTCACCACCAAAACCAGACGGAAACAGCACCAGAAACCCTCGCCGACGCCGACTCTGCACGATGGCCGCGAGTTCTGCTGGCTCACACAGGAAGACGTCGTCCGCTTCCTCCTCAACTCCATCGGAGTCTTCTCTCCGATCCCCGCCCTGTCGATCGACGATCTTGGCATAGTCAGTGCTGACATTCTGGTCGCGGACTACGATTCCCCTGCCTCCTCTGCCGTCGGAGCAATTGCCCGCTCCCTCGCCAACCAGACCTCGGTTGCCGTCATCGATGGGGACGGAGTCCTGATCGGCGAGATATCCTCTTTCGCGCTTGCCTCCTGCGACGAGACCGCCGCGGCCGCCATCGCCACACTCTCCTGCGGCGACCTACTGGCGTACATTGACTGCGGATGCCCGCCAGAGGAGCTTGTGAGGACGGTGAAGGCGAGGCTAGAGGAGCGAGGTCTCCAAGCTACGATCAACGAGTTCGCGATTTCTCCAGGCAACTCGAACCCCTCGTTGTCGTCGGACGAGGAGTGCGCGGTGACTCCGACAAGCGTGCTGCTACGGAAGCTGGGGAGGTGCAACAGCCGGTTATTCAGCTACTCGTCACGGCTGGTGAGGAGGTCGGAGGCGATCGTCTGCAACCCGAAGAGCTCGCTGGTGGCGGTGATGATTCAGGCGATCGCGCACCGGGTGAACTACGTGTGGGTGATTGAGGACGACTGTAGCTTGATCGGGATCGTCACCTTCTACCACATGCTTGAAGTGCTGAGGGAGCATTTGGAGAACTTGGCTTGAAGAAGCCTGTGGAAACAAAATAAAAAAGGTTCTTTTTTTGTTTGTTCTTCCTCTGTGCTTGAGCTTATCTATTATTGTTCTTGAGAGATATTATAAGATATTTGGAAAGTGCAAGTGGGTTTTTTGAGCTTTTCGTGTCTTTTTAATCATTTTGGGAGGAAGGGCTGAGAAGTTAGGTCTTGGATTGTATAATTTTTGTTAGGACTGTTTGCTTTTCCTGTTGTAATGGACCCAACTTTTGTTCTTCATCAATGTTTTTGGACTTTACATAATTTGCTGGAGTGTTGTCGATTTGGACATCTTTCTCTTTGTCCATGATCTTATGATCCTGTTTGAGATCTTGCCATGTGTAGGCAATTGAGGTGCTAAGGTCAATTTGTATTTTGAGAAGAAACAAAGATATAGCAAGTACATCACGGGTCTATGGCGCAATGAGTCACCCTCATGTGGCCTCACGTGCCTGGGGATGCTCGAGCATCTTGGTTGTCCTTTGTGGGTTGAAGTCAAGACAGCTTATAGATGGACCCTGGTCTTCGTTGAGTGGTCCAATCGTGCTGTTGGATTTCTATCACAGGGGTGTCCTACTTTGACCAAGATCGAGCTGAATTCCCCTGCCACTAGGTATTCGTGATTGGCATGAGTAGCTTTCGCTCAATAGGTTAGCAGGCGTTGTGATCCTGAAGGTTCGGACATTGAGAAGATGCGATTGCACCCCAAGAGAATGTGTTTGGGTCGTGCTTCAGTGAGATTTTCAGGGGCTCAAGAACAGATATGAACGTGTCCCTGCCTTTCTGTGGCATGGCCTAAGGCAAGAACGCTTTACCTCGGTCATGGAATCTCTTTCAAGCATTTGCAAGATACCTTTCTGTATTATGAGCTCAGAATGCCTATTTGCAGAAACTATTGGCAAAACCGAACTGACTTGAACTTCACTGGGGAAAGACTACTCTGCTTCCAGAAGAGAGTTTAAGTACTCTGAGTTTGAGTGGAGTTACAACGTTGATCTCGGATGGAGTACAAAGTCTGCGATCCCCACAATTTGGCCTCGTGAATCCGAGCTAAATAAACTTTCGCACTGCACGGTCCAAAGCTGTATTATGAGTAAAGCTTCGGAATATTGAATTGATTGGGGGCTTTCATGATAAACCGATATAATGAGCCTACAAGTCAGTCTGACTCGAGTTATCTGATTGAATGCTTACAGAAAATGACAACTCCACCTAATCTCCATTTCTGCGTATAAACATCTGCAACTTTCTGGGCGATCTCACAGTTATTTGTTGGAGGGAGCTGGCAGCAAATAGGATAATGCAAGTTATTGTTTAATGTCCACATGAGTGACTGGTTGTTTCTTTAAGTTTGGCCTACAAGTGAGTGACTCGATTTATCTGATTGAATGCTTATAGAAAATGACAGCTCCACCTAATCCAATTCTGCATATAAAAATCTGCAACTTTCTGGGAGATGCTCACAGTTATTTGTCGAAGGGAGCTCGCGGCATATAGGAGAATGCAAGTGATCGTTTGATGTCCACATGAGTGACTAATTGTTTCTTTAAGTTTGGCCTACAAGTGAATGACTCGATTTATCTGATTGAATGCTTATAGAAAATGACAACTCCACCTACTTCATTTCTGCATATAAAAATCTGCAACTTTCTGGGATTTCACGGTTATTTGTTGAAGGGTGCTGGCATCACAAAGGAGAATGCAAGTAATTGTTTGATGTCCACGAGTGACTAATTGCTTCTTGCACGTTTGGCCACCGAAGGACCCTCTGTCCTTTGTTTCCATGACTATATAAGTACAAAAGAGCGCACGTTTTAGGTGAATCTTCCATGATCTTCGCCGACACGAAATAACAAATGATTGGAGGACTTATGATCAATGAGTCATGTGCATTCCCCGTTAATCTTCCAGGAAAAGAGATACTCCTGTATCAAAGGTCTCTTCAGAACGGATTTCTCAAGCTGTTATATCCGTTGTTATGTCAAAATTAGAGTCGATTTGCACAGTTAGTATCCAAAACTAGGAAAATTATTAGGTACTCTGAACCTATGTTTAGTCCACTCCACAGGAATCGTCAGATCATGTAAATCCCAACATGGGACTCTAAAACCGACATTCATTCACCCGACCTCACAATTTGTCCAATGATGAATGAGGGGGTTCGTGAAAATCAAAGTGCCAGAACTTACAGCAGTTGTGGCTCTGCTTAAAATCATCAAGAAATTCCTTTCCTAGGAGGATCACCTAAAATATAGTGAAGACGATTACCATTTGCTCTTACTCTCATTTTTACTCAGAGACCGGAATTTATAAGCATGAATGAAGTGGCAATTGAAGCAAAAGGTGGCAGCAGACTATATAAATGGAAGAGTGGTTTAGAAGCATAATGAGGTGAAAGCAACTACAAGTGAGTATTTCCGTACAGCACCTTTTTTAGGAGACAAGATTGGCCCCATAAGTTCCACACTGGAGCTTTATGCAATCCCAGTAAGGACATCAAACATATAATCTAACATACTTAAATACAAAAAAATCATTAGCTTCAACAATTGGAGCCAGAGTCTTACACTACTCCAGAGCTGCATCCCATTTCATCCACTGTTTGTTGGACAAATATCTCGGTCGGTTCCAGGCAGTCTCTCAGCATGTCGTGCCCGAGTTGTGCCCTCTCATTGTCTCCGAACCCAAACAACCGCCCTTTGCCAGTTATCACCACAGTGTGGTACAGACCGGTACTAATTTGGGAAATGTGGTGTGTCCTCAGGCTATCAAGGATTCTCGGCCTCATGACTTTATCGGATGCTCCTCTGTCTGGAAACCCTAGGCTGCCAAATCCCATCCATCCAAAACCATACACGTAACCGTGTTCCTCCAAGACGAAGGTTTTCCTCTTTCTTGCGCAGACCTGCAAGTGAATAACCCAGCATTCAAGACTGACTACAGTTCCTGTTCCCTTTCTACACCGCCTTCCTCTTTCGGAATAGGAATAAGAAAAGAACGGAAAAGGCAAAATAAATCCTAAAGAACCATTATACTATGATTATAAAGAAGGAAAAAAATATGAATCAGCTAATAGCCAAAAATAAATAAAATAGTCCCCACTTATCCCTGAATAAACAAGGTTTGATATCCTGCCCCAGATTTGATCACTTAAAGAATATAAAGAATCGAAAAGCACTTTAAGTTTCTCTTAACTTAGTGCAGACTGTTATATATATATAGTTGCTGCATGCCACTTTTTGTATAGTTTTGGGCAACTGTTTTAACAAAAAGGCTGTCAAATCTTGCCAACTTAGGAAGCCCTTCTCAATTTGGAATGCTAAAACTTAAAAGATATATTGCCACTGACCTGTACTGCAAGATGGCCCTTTAGGCTCTCTACAAGTTCTGGGGTAGTTTTATCAATCTCATCTCCATGGCCTAGAGCACCACAATAACCTTTGCCCCAAGTGTAAACCTGATACATCCATTCAATTTCAACACCATATTAATGCCTTTGGCATGAAAAAAGAAAAAGGTAAAACTAGAAAAAATGTATATAGAAAGGCACATCCTTTTTGTCTGTCTTTTTATTTGCTAGGAATCAAAAGACATATTTCCAATTCAGCGTAAGAACTTACAAGTCCATTAGAATCCAGCGCCACAGCATGCTCGTCACCTGCAGAAACATGCACCACATGGACGTCCCTCCTTCTAAATGATTGAATTTGACGGGGGTTGGACTCATTATGCTGCTCTCCATGTCCAAGACAGAAGTTGGAACCCGAACCAAAAGAGTAGAGCGCCCCATTTTCTGATACAGTGAACACATAACTTGGACCAGCAGCAATTTGTACCACAGGGCCTACGGCTTCAAATTGTTCAATCATCTTCGGCGTCGGCCTCTCCAGAGTGTCACCATGACCAAGTTGTCCACAAGTGTTGCTGCCACATGTATAGACATGACCATCTCTTGTGAGGAAAACAGTAAAATTAAGCCCTGCAGCAACCTGAAAGAAGTTTTAGCTTTTCTCATTTTGCTTCAGTGGGAGAATATGTACTCAAGGATAAGCAATATCAATTATTGACATGCCGAATATGAATATCTTTAACCATCTAGCAAGAACAAATGACACGCTTACCAACAATGAATTATCATGACAGAATAGTCAAAGTGAATAATAAAGAACTAGGATATAATCAGCAGTCCAACATACTCGAGCATTTACAGGACTTGAGTAATCAATGACCATGCATAATTTGAGTATAAAAGTTACAAAAGAAATGGAAAAACCAAAACAAAATGGTTTAGATGAGTAAAGATGCGTGATATGACGAATATCTGCTGTTTCTCACTTAAATGGGATAAAAAGTACTCAAAGAACTCTCAACTAATTTTATCATGTTCCAAGCAAAAATCAAGGAGAGAATAGACATGATATGCACAGGTCTTTGAGGATAGTCGTAGGACATCTAGAAATTAAGAATTAACAGCTAGCAAAATAGAAGATCCAACAATAGAATAATTGATCTGCATCCTAAATTCTTTGTTCAAAACTATCTTCCTGGGCTTTATTAGGGACTCAGATAAACTTCATAGTCAAGGGAGACACCCATGCATCAGCAAGTAAACGCATTGCAAGAGAAAAGCAATTGTGAACACATGGACAGGTTGCATTTTCTCTCCTGGATAAAAAAGGGAAGCATGGCATTTACCTAGACTCGCAAAACCTTTAATATCCAAAATACAGAAAATTTGGTTTGATGGATCACCTGTTTGCAGGGAACTCCTTTCAATGCTTCGACAAGCCGAGGTCTAAATATTGGACGTGCTGTATCTCTATGTCCACAGCAGTAGGACGAATTATCTCCACAAGTGAAAACCTATATCGATAGAAGCTTTTCTTTAAAATTATAGGGGTACCATGAAAAGGACAAAGAGGAATATCTAGGTAGCATACGTCATATCTATGTACATACAAACTGAAGAGCTAGCATCATGGCAAACCCCACAGTAAGACACCAACTACTAAGGTAGAATATTCATAACTGGAGCTCTTCATGAGAACATTGTCAAGCCCAACGAGTCGATGCAAAGGTCTGGCTTTATACATATATTAGGGATAGCAACAGAGGAAATCCGAGATGACAAAAGCATAGATCATTGATGATTTTATTCTTTTCTCCCATCGATTTCCCTCTACTTTCCTGAAAGGGAAAAGGACATGCTAACTTATCTAGCCAAAGAAGGATGAAAAGCTACAAACCTCTCCAGACCGTGTGACAAAAGCAGCATGATTATGGGAGGCTGAGACTTGTAATACATGCGTCGCATATGGAAAACTTATAGGTGTAAATGCTACACATTGTGTTGTTTCAGCACCATGACCGAGAACACCACTTAGACTAGATCCACAAGAATAAACGGATGAATCATGGAGAAGTAATGTATGATATCTCCCGGTGGTAACCTGCATCTGCTGATAAAATAAAAAATGATGAGCATGAATGAAAATGAATGGATTGCTAACAGATTAAATATACTTTGGTGGAAAGGGGCAGAGGGACACTACAGGATTCCTCATCTTTCTTCCCCCCAAAATGACATAATTTATCTTGCATTGAGTTCCTACCAAAACCATTCTTATGATGGTTTATACAATTATGATTGAGTCATTCCACATTTGGCAGGTAAAAATCTCACCAAGTAGACAAATAACACAAATGATGAGACTCACTGACACGATTGTTTCAAGCACTGGAAGTTTTCTATGTTCTATAAAATTCAATATTAAAGGGAAAGAGAGAAAAAACATATTGGTTGCTCATGAAACATATACGGAGGCTAACGACAAGGAAAATTTCTATTGGAGTCTTACTAAACTAAATGCCTGGAGTATCGAAATTCAGAAATTTTTAAGCTTCAGATAATTGAACAACGTATTCTATAAGTAAAACCAAATCCAGAGACAAGCTAATTAATCTCTACTTTCACTATCTAATAACTTCATTCTCCAGCAAAAGCATCAAAAAAGTACATTACCCAATAAATTTTTTATCACAATTACCCAGCAATCAAATTGATGGATGCCAACTATCCCTTAAACCCCCTCAAAACACAATTAATTTCCTTAAAAATTGAAGCACTACAGAAACATACCTTGCCAGAGGATGTTTCAACCATGTCGGATGATTGCTCCACAGATTGCAGGAACCTCAAAAGCCGCTTCCAATTGCCACCGCATCGATCAAAGATTTCCTTTTTCGATTTCAGGCTCATCGAGGAATATATAGGATGAGAATCACAGAGTTGATACACGGCAAGCTCCACGAGCGATCGAAATTTGCTCGGGTGCAGGCCATGACTACCCCCAAAAGTTTTAGAGGTCAATTCTAAGAAAACAAGATCAACTGAACTGAGCCGGCCGCAGCTCAGAATCTCAAGAATCAAATGTGAGGGCAAATCCTCAATTGAGACTGACCTAAGTCTATCACCCATTTCAACCCCACAAAAACCAGCTAGATGGGTAAATTCAAATTGACCTCCGAATTAATAAATGGCAGACGAACGTGGAAGCAAGAACAGAGAGAGCTAGTATCGCGGAAAGCGTCAAATTTTCAGGCGAAATCTAAGGCAATTGAAGCAGCATATGAAGAAGACATCCGAGGGAAGGAAAAGGTAGGAAATTGAGCAGAGCAGAGGGGGTCTGGACCAGAAATTAACAGGTGGTCGGAACGACGGTTGTGAATACAACATCAGAAGAGAGAGAAATCAGGCCCCAAACTACCGACTCGAAGAAGGAATTGCGGATCTTCACCTGCAAAGAGAGACAGAAATTCGAGGACAAATCAATCAAAATCCAACACCCAATTGCAACTGCAACGAGCTCATCGACCCCATTAGAACAGAACAGCAAAGCGAATTGGGTGGGAAAGAAAGGGAGGCAGCTAAAGGCGGAATCTTTACCCTTGGAAAGGCGAGACGACTGGTGGGGACTCTTTTCTCCGGCGACGATCCCACCCCCTACTACTCCTCCACCGAAAAGAACCGAAGAAGGGATTGTGCGTGCTGCGGGTATGGGTCACATTTAGTTTTTGCTTTTGGTGCTTGGAAAGCGAGGTGGGGAGAATCGAAAAGCAAAGCGCTCGATGACAAGTCCTCCACTATGCGAGGAAAAGGGTTAAAAATTGCTCCTTTCTTTATAGACCGGCAAATTCCCTCGCTGTCACCACTCTCTCTCTCTCAAAAGCTTCATGATCGAGCACTGTCAATGGCGAATTTCTCTCTTGACTTTTCTGACAGAGCTAGAGAGAGAGAGAGAGAGAGAGAGAGAGAGAGAGAGAGAGAGAGATGGGGCGTAGGAGAAGGAATTGGCGTCATTTCCACATTTCTTTTTTCCTCTCGTTCAATGAGAACTCGCGAACTTGCGGGATTCGGGCTGATGCTCCTGTCTGATTTCGGCGATCATTCGCGCCTCGATGGAAGCGCCTCGGAGCTGCCACGTCGGCAACGACAGCATCATCATCTTCGCGCCACTTCGGTCGGGGGAACGTTGCCACGTCGGACGGAGGGGGTATATTGCCCACGCGAGGTTTTGGTGTGTTTCTTTACGCACCGTCAGATCGTGCAACTGTGGTCACCTACACGCACTGATTATGATGCGATTTTCAACCCTTAATCCTGTTTTAATCTCTTAAAAGTTTTGTTAATGTAAATTAACCCTTAAAGTGGCTTGAAATTTCCCATCAACATACCCAAAAAAATTTCATTTTTCGAAAATTTGAGATGGCTTCAAATGATGCTATTTATACAACTCTTAAAGCTCAAAAATGGAGAAAATTTGAACGGTACGGAACCAAGCGAGTAGCATTATCCTCCTTCCTCCTTGCGAGTGGCGCTCTCTCTCTCTGGCTTAGCTTGCTTTCTGTTCCCTTGTTTTCTCTTCAGCCTGACTGAGTTCATTAATGACTAAATCTTAAGCAACAAGAGAACGTGAAAGCTCGGGCATGGTCAATGTCTTAACCACCAGTTAAACTTGCATCCTAATATAAACAAGAAGGTATCATGACCAGATCAGATCAAACCCCCTGTCAGAAAGAGTGTTCCCAATCGTGGGTAGGTAGTGAAAAATGAAAAGCCAATACTAGGAAGCAACTTCTGATCTGTTTGACACTCCGGAATCTGCCTATTTACTTATGGGTTTACTTGCTTTTTTGCCAGGCAATCCATATGAAACTTGATAGATAAGGAAGAAGCCAATGACTTGCTCGGAGTCCTGATTTTCACTCACAGTACTCAAATTTTCATATTTTTCTGAGCTTACACAGTCCTGATATCAAGCAGCTTCCATAGGCTTAGAAACAAGCTTACAAGCTGAGAGAGGGAGAGAGAGAGAGAATATAACATTCACTATTCCTACTCCTTGCTATTAGGGAAGACAGATCAAAATGTATGACTGAACGAGAAGAGATCTAGGTGCAACTCTCCCTCTTTTTTCTGGAGATGCCTCGAAAGTCTGCACTATCTTCCCCTTGTAGGTCGCTATAAGCTGTTGACCATAAAAAAGACATCTTCGCTTCGTATTTACGCGCTTGATGCTGTCACTAGGTATAGCAGTGTTAAAAACAGCAGATTGAAATGGCAACCTAAACCCGTAAACTAGAAATACAGATGAGAACCGAAGATTGGACTGGATATCATAGAAAAGGACTCGAATTTCTGTTGGTAAGTAGGAGGAACATAATATATGAAGCAAGATCCATCAGTTGGGTCCTTGAGTAAGTCTTTGCATCTCACTTTGGTCATTAAGAGTTTCCATGAGAAGCGGAGGAGCATATTGGGCTGTTCCTTGGTGCTCTTCCGAATCCTGGCAAAAGGAAAGTATGATTGTGTCGATTGACATCTCGACCACAGCAAAGAAGAGGCTAGCCACCACATAACCAAGACCCCAGCAAACCTGCAATGCAACAAGCAGAGACCGATGTAATCATCATCTTTCACGGCAGGAAACTAATACGGACGAAATTTTAGCAAATACAGCGAAATAGTTCATCCCTACTAACCTCTGATCAACTCAACCTCTTGTAAGCATATAAAGTAAATTTCAGAGGTGAAAGCACACAAGTCTTATAAATTGCTACTCATAAAGTCATACATTTCTTACTAAACTCGAGATATGCAACTAAATCCCAGGCTCAGTTGCAGAAAGAACAACAGTCTCAATCTAGGCTGACAAAACTTAGCTGATGAGTTGAGTTATTGAGTGAATGCCAGTGGCAATTATCAGTAAATGCAAAATAAATAAATAAATAAAGATTTTGTATAGAAAGGAGCAGGTTTCAAATCGTCCATAATCTAAATGATTTTGTGCAGTACCAGAAGAAATATTCATGTACCAATTGATAGCATGGTGATACACGTACCAATACTGGCAACAGTGGAGAAGAAACTTTATCATGACCAGATCTGTACTTGTGTGAATCCAACATGAGGAAAGCAAAGAGGGCACTTGACAGGCTGACGCACAATTTCCCCAGAGAGAGAATAACATCTCCTATCACATTAACTCTCCCTATCCGAAGAATGTTGCTGAAGATCAATTCCGTTGCTATTGCTGATGCCCTACAGAAGCTTTTGCCCGTGATCGCTATCTGCAAACGCTCCAAATGGCTATCAAAGTGAACTACGCATAATAAAGAGTCATGGCTCAAATGGTTTTTTCCTTCTAAAGAAAAAAGGCTTAAAAAAACTTACCATTATATAAGCATTGCGATTTACAGATTTCAGCATCCACTCAATGCACCTCAGCAAAAACTGAGAGGAATGGAATGTGGCCTTCCCAAAAAATCCATCAGGTGTTGATGTAACCACTTTCAATTTGCGACGAACTGACTCGAGTATAAAGCGGATTGATTCCACAAATGATACAACAAGGGAACCCAGAGCAATGGACCCAAGGCTATAGCGGATCAGCCGCTTCATAGAGGAGAACACCGGAAGAAATGGAACTTCAGGCTGCATTTGTGAAGTTACTAAAGAGATTAAAGAAATATATACAAGAATATAACTAAATGTAGACAGATAGAAGTAGATAATCAATTGTGAGGTACACAATCAATCAGTGTGACAACATATCGAAGTTCAAAGTGTATAATTGGTCAAAAGAGATGCCAGCCGAAATAATCAGGGTTTTTGCTGAAACAGTTGGAACTTCGGAAAAACAAATTTTTCAACAGATAAAGTAAGTGATTCAAGAAGCAATTGCTAAAATTTGAACCTGCCTAAAATGTACCTACAACAAGATGGTAAGAAAACCTTGACATGCACTCTAATCAGCATAGAACTAAATATATCTCAATTCAAGAACAGATTTGCCAATCTCAAACTTCATGTTCTTGAAAGCACTTCAATCAGTATCGATATGTTTTTTCACTATATAATTCTTACCGATGTTTCTCCGCGAGCCCAGTAATATGAAGCTACAGAACCCGCAATTACAGTTGCCGAGCATGCTATGATGAATTGAGTAGCCCAATAACATCCGGATAGGTGGAAAAAGATAGCAACTGCAATGTGAGGGGTGTAATGAACGCTATAACCACAGCATTGATCACAATTCACTTTTTTCAATGCAAGATTATAAGAACAGCAGTTGGAGTTGCAATTATTCTGAACGACTTGACCAGAACTGAACAGATGAAGAGCAGCTGAAAGCCAGAACATATAAAAGATTGCAAGGATAGCATATGGCATGACTGGAAAAATTATCAGCGCCTGCACTTCTCCGATGACCTTCGCAGCAACCTGCACAGGCATCAAGTACAAGGAAGCAAATTTAGCTGGGTCAAAGTCTGCTATCAGTTAAATTAAGAACCGAGAAAAGACCATGATCAACAAGTCAGTATACGTCAGGCTGTCCATGACATAAGGTAAAACTTTTCAAAAGAAATTCTATTGTTCATATAAGAACATCCAGGGCCTTTCCTTGCCAACAGTGAACAATTAGTTACAAGGCATTTAGGTGCTCACATAGTTAAGAGAACGAATTATTGAGTTGAAACTCTTGATGCAGATCAGCTCAATTTATCGCGCTCAGAAAAGTCGTCCCAACATACTCGTCAGATGTAAGCCCAATTTCACTTGAAATGTTTAAGAAATGCATGACTGTAGTTGGCAAAGATTGCACTTTACTTTGTCTCTTCCTTTGATTAGTTTCAAAAGATCAGTTCAACATTTGGTTCTTTATGTCATTTATTTATTCATTTGATTCAAGATCTAAGACAAAAGACAAAGGACCACTGTCGGATTTCTTTATAAATTGAATTGTTGTGGCAGATAATCTATTTCTTTTAATGATTTCGAATATCTCATGTAAATGTCCATAAAGAGCAGCAAGCAACCTTGAAGCATCTCTCTCTCTCTCTCTCTCTCTCTCTCTCTCTCTCTCTCTCTCTCTCTGTGATATGTGTAGCTATGGAGTGGAGGATCATTCAGTAAATATAACAGAAGAGCTATGAGCTAGGAAAAACTTGACAACTTGCTGAACTTTGTAAGCAGCCGCAGTACTTGCCTTGAGGACTGATGTTGCCATAAGGATGCGGCGTATAATGGCAATTGAGGCAAGGATGGAAACAACCATTATAAAGGTCATAAAAACAGCAACAGCACGAATATGATTTAGCTCCTGGAATGAAATAATTGTTAAAGAAAGAAACAAAAGGAGCTTTCAAAAACCAAACGTAAATTAAAAAGACACCCACCCTCCCATATACACGAGTGTATGCATCATGCTCGCCAATGATTGGGGAAATTGCATCATTCCCGATCCATCCAGCTAAGAGTCACAGAAGAAAAGTTTAGAGATTCAAATACTTCTGCATACACATTGCGCAATGCACTGAAGCAGAGAAAATTGTAAATAGAAGAGGCAGAGAGGGACAAATTTTAGTAGACCAGTTTACAATGTGGACACATCAATGAACTTCAAACAATTTTGACTGAGGCCTGAAGTTACTACAGGATCATCCTCATAAGCAAGACAAACAGAGAGACTACTTACCAGATATGCTGAGTCTCAGAAACTAGATAACTCTTCGTAATAAACCTTCCAGAAACTGAAAACAATTCGCATGAGGAATGGAGTCCTAGCTCCTTTATGCTATATGCTACTTTAGCATTTATGACAATGCCTGATGCACTTCCCAAATAATACAATTCATTTATCCCTAATGCGACAGAATTAGTTTAACCCAAGGAGAAGAGGGCGACTGTTATGACTCACCTTTCAAGTAGTAAAACATTGTGACTGATATGATGAGAACATTGAAGAGGGCAACTGTTATCCATGGCATAGCGGCAACAAAATGGCGAATAAGAAGAAGCCAAACAACTGACAAAAAGAGCGGCAGGAATCCGCCACAAACAATCAGGACAGGCCACGATTTTCCAATATCAGCCATGTATCTCTACAAGTGAGGAATTTCAAATGTAAAATCCATAAGCATAAATACATATTCAGAAATCTTTTCACGAAAACAGAACACAATGTGTGATAGAGAGGTTATTGCAGCTAATACAAAATCTCTAACCGGACATTGTAGAAAAATGTCAATGTACATTCTCTTATCTATGCATATAATTGGCAGGATTAACCCTATCTAAGCAACACGGCAAGTAATTCCAGCCGGCAAAAAGTTTATACTTTGTTAAAAATCTGTGCGGAACTTCTATCCAGAAAAGAGAAGGTAACATCATGTTTACCCAGTTTTGGTCAAAGACACGGAATGCTATTCAGGTGCTTTATTTCCAAAATCACAAAATCCTAACACTTTAAACATCAGCTAAGGTGTACATGCAGTCCTTAACCTTTATGATCGCAATTGGCATGGGTAACCATGACTACAGAAAGTTATGGATGTTTATTACATTAAATGAAAGAAGGCTGCTGATAAGTGTAGTTGTAAAACCAGAGTAATTCACAAGCATCTACTGACATTTTCTTTTGGACAAAAAACAAAAAGTGAAGAGTCAAAGGTTCAAAACCTTTAAGACAGACGATCGAGCATTGATGGATCGGTGAATGGATTTGTCTATTACTATGTCCTCATTAATCTTGACTCCTCCCATTTGCTGCCAATGCCGCAAAGACATATTTGATGCACGAGCTATGAATTGGCAGCTCCAATATACTAAACAAGAACATATGCTTGTGTCACAGTAAGATACATCTAATGCAACATAATTTGTATAAAATGGAAGGAAATAGTATTTGACCAGTGCCATACAACGTGCATCAACTTATGTCCCTCACCATTCACGCTCGGAAATATGACTGGGTAACAAGGTCCTTGAAGCTGAAGAGAGGTGTTCCTCATTTCTGGTGTGAGGAACTCAAAATAATCGTAATTCCTATCTATCCAGTCTTCCATTGAAAGACGAATTTCTCCCTCTGGGTAATCGCAGACCCAGTTCAACGAATCGTCTGATGGAGTAGGGCAATCCAGCAAGCATATACTTCGAGCATTAGCCAGGTTGAATTGGCTGTCCTTCAAACCACTCTGATACACTTGGTTAGGATTCAACCAGTACCTAAGTTCTAACTCTCTTAGGCCAGGATTCGCGTGCTTGTCACCACATACGTTGCCTTTGTAATCCAAACCAAATGTAAGCCTGTATAGTTCAAATGAAGCCAGTTATGACAAAGGAAAAACTGGACCAGAATGCAAGTCAGGTTGAAAAGTAAACATTCAAGCCAGAGTTCAGTAAGTCCAACATAAACTCTGGTTAATTCTGGATTATGTAAAATCATCGACAGCAATATGATTCGACTCACTTAATGGCCTTTTCCCTCGTCTCAAACAACTATGGAAGGAAATATACGCAGAGAAAGCACCACACATTCTCCAAACAGTAGACTTTTCCTCCGGTTAACATTGTTGCGGTGAATAGCAGAATCAAGAAAGAGGCGCAACAATAACCCACCATAACTATCGTCCAACTAAGAAGAAAGAGAGAGAGGAACCAACATGTCTTAACGAATATAGACCACAACACGCGCTGTTATGACAATTTGCTCCCAACAGCTCAGACAAACTACGAACACCAAGAAAGATCGTTCATTTCCATCTAAAATACTAGAAATTCTAAATCTTGCCACAAAAGACAGCAAAAATTCCAAATCTTTGACGAAAGCACGTCACTTTTTCAGCAGCCAACGAAGGAAAACGAAGTACCCAGGAGCGGATTACACACCTCAATGGGTTTCCTTGGTTGAAACCGAAGCTGGAATTAACAATCATAGCCACCCAGAACGCGATAAAGAACACGAGGAACGCAATGTCCCTGCATTTCCGGTTGTGCTTTATGATGCCACCCATCTGGGTGCTCCCGTCGCTCGACGTGTACCTCCCTATGACAGGACCCAGAGGACCCCTCATCTGCACACTGGGGAGAGGGAGGGAGAGAGCTGGGGTTTAGGAGAGAAGGGGCAGTGAGCCAGAGAGTAGAGTGGAAGCAAAAGGAGGAGAGTGTGAAAGGCTAACGAGCGAGAGAATCTCTTCTCTTTTTTCTTTTGACGAGACCAGTTCTGTTTTGGGTTTTCAGACAAAGATTTGTGGCATTTCGTGTTTTAAGTTTTAATGTAATTTCGAAATCCATGTCTGGAATCATGGATGGCGATGGAGCTGAAACGGCTCCGCTTCTTCAGCTTGGCCGATGAGTCTTTGAAACGGAAGTTGCATGAAACGGGGTAGCTTAGACTTTCATAAATTCTTGTTTGGAGTGACAAAGTTTTTCTTAGCATTTTACCCTTTTTTTTTAAGATCTTTGAGACGCGTTGAGTTTAGACTTTCCTTTTTAATGTTAAGCAATCGAAAGTTTCACGAAAAACTTCATAATTTTACGTGGTACAATCCAATATTTACAAATTGGTACAGTTAATTTATCTTTTTAGTTTATTCATTTTTCACATCTCAACTTCATATAATCAACCCACCCATGAGTAGCTCAGTTGATTAGGGCGTACTTGGGATTGTGTGGTTAGGCGCACTGGTCCCAGGTTTGATTCCCCAGCTGAGCATTTGTGATTTAAGTGGGGGCCATGGCGGTGGGTTCTTTGTCTTAGTCTCCCCGAGGAATAGTCGAGTGCGCGCAAGTTTGTGCCGACACCTCGGTTACCAAAAAGAAAAAAAAACTTCATATAGTCAACATACAACAACAAACACCGATCTAAATCCTACTATGCAAATCACCTACTGAAGCACAAGAATAATATTTCAAAGAGAATCTATAGATTTTACTTTATCATTAAAATTTAATCATTTCAAATACTCATCTTAAGATTGATCTGGTGATAAGAGTGTTCACGTGCTTTCGGCTCAAGATTCGATGATTGGGAGTTTGATTCCTGCCCTAGGTAGTTCGGATTTGAGTGTGAGGCCAGGTGGATTGATGTACTAATTTCCTTTCAAATAGCTTGCGAATCACAATTAAAGCCTTGGATTAGTAAAAGAACACATCATTTTGGATTGCCTTATATACGAAAAGATAATTTACTCGCAAATTATTTGTCGAACAGAATTAGGAAATCACTCACTTTAGTGTTCCTCCGACCATTTTAATCTAATTGCCCCCTTTTACAATAGTCAAAAGGCATTAACCTTACAATCCGCAAAGAATTGTCTCTGTCTAAAGTTTTAATCAAACGGCTTTCTTGGGAAGCACATTGCACACCAACTGGTCAAAATCGAAACAGGGCTGGACGAGGAAGCCAGGAGCCGAGAACGAGCCGGCGAGCCGCCGACGGCCGAAGAGCAGGACATGGTGGGAATTGTCTAATTTCCTGAAATCCCAGTAAAATATTCGCCGCTCAACGTGACAAGGACAGTGGCAGGGGGAGGGAATGCTAGAGGGACCACAGCGACACGTACACGTGCCCTTGACAGATTGGCCCACCACCGGTGCATTGCCGTACCGTGTTCAAATTCATCATGGGTCAATGATAGCAAGCCCTAAGCAAAGGCCATGAGCAGAGCAGCCCAATATCTTGATCAAGATGTCTGTGTGACTCTGGGCTGACTGGCCGGAGTTACTGATTGAAGCTGCAAAAGTTCAGGCGCGGAGTTTGCTGGTCCTGGTATATTTGACCGACCATATACGAAGCTACTGTCGGTGTTTTCATTGACCCTGATTGCAATGTTGCAAGGGCCCTGGACAATGTAGTGTGATCTGATAATCGTGGCTTTGGTTTTTTCATGTGTCAGCCAGATTCGATAAGTTTTGGTCGCGACCCGATATGAGAATTTTTCCTGAGGTGTGCGGCCAAAGAGGAGGGTCTGTCCCCCGAACTTGCTAGGGGGCGCAAGGGGTGAAGCCCCGTGCCACGTGGACAGATTAGGTTGTTTGAAGCTGCACCTTCCTCAGGAGAAAGATCTGCCCAAACCCCACTTTCTCTTCTGGAGGTCTAAATGTCAACAGTGGGAGAATGGCCCACAATGATGTGGAGGAGACGTGATTGAAGGTTCTGGTAATTAGCCCTTGAGACTATCATGAGCCAGAGAGGATGAATGGTTTTTGCTATTATGATTTTCCTGGAGACTCCTATGAATCCTACTTTTCTGATGGGTTGAGTTGATTTGGAAAAAGATCATTATTCACTCTGCAGATTCTACCTTACACTGTTCATCTGTGCTCTGTCCACTGCTCCGGACGATTAGGAAATGGAGCAACCGTGACGTTACTCAATGAAAACGAGAAAAATGGTGCAACTGCTAATTTAATAAAAAGGCGAATTCCCATTTCGGCGGATATCACTCGTTGTTCTCACGCTTTGAGGACTGTAAAGCCAATTGTTTACGATGCTTTTGTTTTTCCCTTCAACAGAAACCAGGATAGAGATATTCTGATGAGATGAAACTGACTAAGATTGAAAAGGCAAAATCATGCTCGTCGCTTGAGCTATAACACTTTGTACAAATCAAACAATGTCGGCCTACATATATACCCATCTGGCCTTCACACTAGAACTAATTTACATCTGACCAAAAATTAGTAGCTCCAAAGCAATACGATTGAAGCTAATTAGAACAGAAGGAGACAGAGCATCATACAACAGAAAAGAAAGACCGATAATCGGTTGAGGGACCGATCCAGCTTCACTTCTTGCCTTCTCAATCTACGACCGCTGTTCGCAACTCCAGGATAGGAGTATGCGTGAGGATAGTTGCTGAGACTCGTGTCAGAGCATCCGAACATCCGAGCATAGACCATCTCACCAAACATGCCAGCGTTGGTGCCCAAACTAGCTATCAGCTGCTCCTGAGGTAACTGTGAATGCGAAAGGACAGGGTTCGAGCAACGATGTTGCCAGCTTGGACCGTTGCTAGAGTTCAGATTCAGCGCACCAGGAGACGGCCTACGAGGTATGGCAATGTCTGAATCAAGTTTCTCGGAGTCGCTTTCAGAAGAAGAAGATCCCCGGCCGTATAGTGGTATCAACGTGGAGGGTGAGATCCCGGCCTTGCAAATTGGGCAAGTCTGATGCCGCTGATCCGGTTCATCGGATGAGCCTTGCGCATCGAACCACCTATATAGGCATGGCCAACAGTACAGGTGGCCACAAAGGGTGACCACGGGATCGGTTGCCGAATCGAAGCATATGTTGCAGTCGAAGCACCCATCAACACCGGCATCATCGACCGTCCCCTTCCCCGACAGAAGACCCAGCTTCTGCTCAGAAGGAGCGTCTCTGCCGCATCCAAAGCTCGACGCGGCCTCTGAAACAGTTTGCCCAGCAACAGCCATGCGATGATCTGTTCTCGGAAAGAAGAAAGTAGCCCTCTTGGATCGAAGTCGAGACGCGACGCGAGACGGGTCAGTCGGACGGCTTCAGTTCAGGGTTCAACAAGAAGGAAGAGAAAATATTGCAGCTTTCTGGACGAGAGAGAGACGGAGGGGATTGCTGATAGATATGAGACAGTATTGTGTGGGCGCTACGTATATATAGGGATGAACATAGATGTTTCCACGTTCTGCAGATAACCGCGTCTTGTGGTTCTTTCTTGGTTTAACATTCTCAATACACTCGGCTGCTTCCTTCCAAGAGGGGCGTGACCCGGTTGACAAGGGACCCTCACGTTCATGGACTTTTCTCCGCAGCCCAAACACGCCGGTGTAAGTGAGAATGAATCTTTTTCTTGAGTGTATTGGCGTACGTAGCCCTAGCAAGGTCGTGATCTAATGAATATTCTCTCCTTTGAGCCAACTTTATCGATAATACCACCAACAAAATTCTTAACCGATGAGCTCGTGTCCCATCCTCGTAAATTAATTTTTGCGTTTCAAAACACCCATAAATTGGACACCCATAGCATGATCATAATCATTAGATTCGCCAATATTTGGAGTAATGAACTTGGGTTTAAAAATGAGATCTTTCAAATGTCACTTGAGTGGAACTAAATTTCGATTTGTACCCAACAATGGAATGTTCAGTGAATTTGTATTTAGGACCTTAATAACATAGGTTGATAGTAAACAAAATATCTGCCTGCAAGTGGTAGCCTTTTCATCTAGAAGCACACACGCACTTAATGGGCAATCTAGAAGGAAAACATCGGCGATGAAAATTACCCGTCAGGAGTGGACTCAGAATCTTGTCCTTTGTGGTAATAAAAGTCTTTAAACGTGATGCCAAAAAGTCAAAGGAGTCGAGTCATCATCGGATCGAATCAAGAGCCGACGACCGTCTGGAAGGACTTGACCTTCTGGATGATCATCGTGTCACCAATCCGACGCCCACCAATTGGAAATGGACAACACCAACGTGTTGGCTTTCCTCTTTCTGATGAGATGTGACGTGGGTCCTCGTCATACGCGTGTGTGGGTCCGGCAATGTCCCGAGATTCAAGAGAACCGACCAAGAAAGCCGACGTGGGTGGCACGACACGTGGCGAGATGAGGACTCTGACGAGGGATCAGGTTGTTTGACGAAGGGTGCTCGGTGGCGACGGATTAGAACGGTGACGCAGGGAGATTCTCCGCCTACGGGTTCAGAATTCTTGCCCACGAAATCGTTTTAAATGATAAGCTTCGACGTTGCAGATGGACCCTTTCTCAGTTGCATCTAGCGCATGCAAAGACGTCACAATCGAAATGGGTGCGTCTGCTTGAAGAAGTAGAAAATGTTGGAGTTGACGAATACTTCGGCTACCTTTATTTCTCACACTAGATACGCCCACATGAGCTTAGGGAAACTAAAGTGTTATCCGACGACATGTGACTCCTGCGTGCGGAATGCGGGGATTCGGGGGCAGCGCCCCCGACACGGGTGTCTCGGCCGCCTTGGCCACGCTGGGGTTCGGCGCGCCCCGGAGACGGGGTTTCACCCGACCTGGCTCAATGCTGGATTTGGCCGCCCGCTCGCGAAGTCGAGCACGGGGACTCGTAAGGCGTTGCCCCAAACCTCAATGGGTTTGGGCTTTTATTTAAGCTGGCCCGTATGGTGCGAGATTAAGAGATTTCGTATAGGTTTAGGTTTTGGGCCCGTTTGGGGCACATATATATTTTGCTCATTTTTCTGATCATTGTAACGAGTTGAGTGGCTGTAAACCGAAAATATAGTAAAATCTCTTTGCAGGGCGTAGCCCTATTCGAGGGTGAACCTGGGTAAATTCATGCATCGTCTATTTTCTCTGATTTCTGCGTGATCGTTCTGTTTCGGTTCTCGATACATCTCTTCAGAAAATTGAAGATGTTCATTTGCTTGAAGTTGGAAGGACCCGTTTAGTTTCGCAACAACTTGTGTTGTCCAGAACTCTCTTGTTCTGCAACGAAGTTCAGCAGCCAGTTCGGCGTCTTCCATAGATGAACTGCTGCACTTCCGCTGGCTAAATGAAAGAAACTGACCTCCCATGATGCGGAATCTGTTAGTGGTGCGTTTCTGGACCGATTGGACAGGCAGAAGTCCAAACGGAAGGCGAAACAGTGATGTGACTAGAACCGATGGACCCGACCGATGGACCCGATCGACGACATCGGATATTTTTTATGAGTTAATTTAAAAAGGCAGTTTTCTAATTTTGATGTTTTATGCTTTCCAATTTAGATTAGGTAACTTTCCTATTATGATTAGGTTTCCAATTTAGATTAGGTAACTTTCCTATTATGATTAGGTTTCCTATTGTAATTAGGTTTAACCCCTATAAAAGGGTGTTTAGGGTTGTTTTGAAGACAGAACATTCTTATCATCAATATTGAATTTCGAGATTTTTCTCTCTAAGCAAGGTTTTGCTTGAATTATTCGCGGAACGCTGCGTTAGGTGGTATCAGAGCCTATGGCGACTGGCGGTGGTCTTCGTGACGATGCTCAGGAGACTGGAGCCCCAACCCTTGGGGACGACGCGCTGCAACGTTTGGAGCAGCGTTTAATGGAACGCTTGGATCAACGATTCGATCAAAGTCTTCGTCGTTTCGAAGAACGATTTGACGAGTTAACAGAACGATTCGAAGGTCTCGGCGTTGATGTGAACCGGAATCGACGGAACGACAGAAGGCCGGGTGCAGATCTTGCTCGCGGTGATCCTGTTGATAGGCATGTTCTTGTCCGTAGGCAGAATAACCCTCTGTTTTCAGAGAGTTCGGAAGAAGAAGAAACTGAAAATTTTGATGAGGAACGTGCTGATTATGGCGGCAGACGTCGTCATGGAGGATTTCAAAGAGGATATGATCGGAGAGATGGAAGACGACGCTATGACGATCGTGAAGGTAACGACTTTAAATTGAAAGTCGATATCTCTTATTTTAATGGTAGTCTGGGCATAGAAGAATTTCTGGATTGGCTTGCTGATATAAATAGATTTTTCGACTATATGGAGACCCCTGGTGAGAAAAGGGTGCGATTAGTAGCCTGTAGATTAAAGGGCGGTGCGTCTGCATGGTGGGAGAGATTACAGAATAGGAGAGAACGAGAAGGGAAAGAGAGAGTTCGAACTTGGACTAGGATGAGGAGGCTGCTGAAGCAAGAATTCCTTCCACCCGACTATGAGCAAATTATGTTCCAGCAATACCAACATTGCCAGCAGGGCAATCGGACTGTGCATGAGTATACGGCCGAATTTATGAGATTGGCGGAGCGGAATAATTTATCAGAGACGGAGGGACAGCAGGTGGCCAGATATCTTGATGGTTTGAAACCCTTCATTCGAGATAAAATTGGAGTGCAGTTTCTGCAAAATTTAACTGAAGCCAAGAATATGGCGATGAAGGCAGAATTGATGCAGCAAGATAGGGGAAGAAGAGGCTATGAAAATTATCGAGGTAGCAGCTCGAGCAATTCGGTAGAAAAGAGCAGTTTCAATAATCGCTTTAACGCAGGGCAAAATCAGGAAGATAAGGCGGTAGAAAAGCGCCCTATGAACGAGCCGAGGGATAAGGGAACGCAAGCACAGAAAACTGCGAACCCTAACCCTTATACTAAACCAGCCACGATAAAGTGTTACATGTGTAATCAGCCTGGGCACCGTTCTAATGAATGCCCTCAGAGAAAGACCGTAAACGTAGCAGCGAGAGAAGAGGAGGAAGATGGATATTGCTGTGCGCCGGATGGTGAGGACGATGATTTTGAAGATGAAGAAGAGGAGCAAGTAAACTGTGTGGTGCGTAGAATGATGTTGGCCCCAAAACAAGAAGATGATTCGCAGCGCCATCAGTTATTCCGAACCAGGTGCACCATTTTGGGAAAGATCTTTGCTGTGGTTATTGATAGTGGAAGTATGGAGAATATCATTGGGAAGGAGGCATTGAAGAAGCTGGGGATACCCGTGGAGAAGCATCCTAATCCCTATACGTTAGGATGGATTAAATCTGGAGCGGAAAGCATTCATGTGACTGAACGATGCAAAATTCCCTTCTTCATCGGTAAATATCATGATGAGCTGTATTGTGATGTAGTAGACATGGATGTATGTCATGTGTTATTTGGGAGACCGTGGCAATTTGACGTAGATGCTCAGCATTCGGGAAGAAGCAATCAGTATAACCTCGTGAAGGATGGAGTGAAGTATACGTTGCTGCCACTAAAGAACAAAGGAAAACAAGCTGTTGAAAATAATTTCCTTACCCTTACGAGGAAATTTGAAGCTGAGGTTAAGGAAACCCGACAGATTCACGTGCTGGTCGTGAAACAAGCAATTGAGACTGAGGCTGAATTACAAGTGGAGGAGCAGCCCGAATCAGTTAAACCTTTATTGAAGGAATTTAGCGAACTGATGCCTGAAGAGATTCCAGATGGGTTGCCGCCTATGCGTGATATTCAGCACCATATAGACTTAATTTCTGGTGCTAGTCTGCCAAATTTACCGCACTACAGGATGAGTCCAAAAGAGAGCGAGATTCTAAAAGAGAAGGTGGAGGAGTTGTTGCGAAAGGGACACATTCAGAATAGCATGAGCCCATGTGCTGTTCCGGCCTTGTTGACTCCTAAGAAAGATGGGAGTTGGCGGATGTGTGTAGATAGCAGGGCTATTAATAAAATAACCGTGGGGTACAAGTTTCCAATTCCAAGATTGGATGACATGCTGGATAGGTTGCACGGTGCTAAGTGGTTTTCGAAGCTGGATTTGAAGAATGATACCATCAGATTCGAATTCGGCCCGGAGATGAGTGGAAGACAACTTTCAAAACAAAGGAGGGGTTGTACGACTGGTTGGTGATGCCTTTCGGACTTTCCAATGCTCCAAGCACTTTCATGAGGCTTATGAATCAGGTTCTGAAATCTTTTATTGGCAAATTTGTTGTAGTTTATTTTGATGATATCCTGATTTATAATAAGACCGAGGAGGATCATCTGATGCATTTAAAGGAGGTGTTGACAGCCTTACAGATTAATAAGCTGTATATTAATCTTAAGAAGTGCAGTTTTTTAACTAATAAGCTGTTATTCTTGGGGTTTATTATTACTGCTGAAGGAATAGAGGTAGATGAGGCGAATGTAAGAGCAATCAGAGAGTGGCCGACTCCTAAAACAGTTTCTGACGTTAGGAGTTTTCATGGGTTAGCTACTTTCTATCGGCGATTTATTAAGAATTTCAGTACTATTGCAGC